AATAAATAAATGGGATTATATCAAACTAAAAAGGTTCTGCACAGGAAAAGAAGCTGTTTACAGAGCAAAAAGACAACATACAGAATGGGAGAAAATATTTGGAAACTATGCATCTGACAAAGGATTAATATCCAGAATATACAAGGAACTCGAACAACTTAACAGTAAAAACACAAGCAACCCGATTTTTAAAATGGGAAAAGAAACTGAATAGGTATTTCTCAAAGGAAGATATACAAATGGCCAACAGACACATGAAAAAAATGCTCAACATCACTAATCATCAGGGAAATGCAAATCAAAACCACATTGAGATATCACCTCACTCCAGTTAGACTGGCCAATATAAAAAGATAAAGAATAACCAATGCTGGCAAGGATGTGGATAAAGGGGAACCCTCCTACACTGTTGGTGGGACTGTAAATTAGTGCAGCCATTATGGAAAATGGTACAGAGCTTCCTCAAACAACTACAGATAGAATTGGCATACAATCCAGCAATCCTGCTGCTGGGTGTATACCCAAAGGAATGGAAATCATTACGTCTGAGGGATACCTACACTACCGTGTTTATTTCAGCTCTATTTACAATAGCCAAGATTCAGAACCAACCTAAATGTCCATCAATGGATGACTGCCTAAGGAAATGTGGTGTATCTACACAGTGGAATACTACTCTGCCATAAAAAGGAATGAAATTCTGCCATTTGGAGCAACATGGATGAACTTAAAGAAGATTACGTTAAATGAAATAAGCTGGGTACAGAAAGAGAACACATGTCCTCACTCATAAGTGGGAGAGAAGAAAGAAGGAAAGGGAAGAGAAGGGGAAGGCAGGGGAGGGAAAAGAAAGGAAGGAAGGAAGGAAAGAAAGAAAAAGAAGGAAGAAAGAAACAACAATTACAATAATTACTTGAACTTTCAAAAGGAGAATAACAGATCTGAGGCCACCAGATGTGGGCAAGCAGCCAGGGAGGGATTAGGGAGAAAAAAAAAAAGAGGCCTAGTTCTCACACTTTTATTCAAGTAAACAAATTCAAAGATAGTATATTTTCATTTCAGAAACTTTTCAAAGTAACTCCATAAATATTTTAAGTGAAAATTTAAATAATGAATAAAAACTATCCAACTGAAGTTGAAAAAAAAATGAAAAGACTGCTTATAATTCTTTTTTTTAAAGTTTGTAATGGTAGACCATAGTTGGCTTTTGTTTTCTCGTTTTCCTTTTCATCCTTGCTTGGCCAGTTAAAAAACTGACATACTATGCAGCCCCAAACATGCTGTTTGGAAACTTTATTAATGTTTGAAATTCAAAAGTCTGAGAATCAGATCCCTTTCCTTTGCCTACAAATCTGTTCTCTTCTTCAACATTGGCCCGTTTTGTTTTCTCTCTTGTCCACTATTCTTCAGACATAAAAGCCCTTTTTCATTTCTTGCTCCAGTGCCTTTACATATGCTGCTCCTACTGTCTGAAAAATTTTTTTCTCATAATTGACATCTTCTCAGCAATAAGGTCTTAGCGTAAACATCCCCCTAGCACAGAGTGCTGCCCTAACCACTTTATCCATCCCCTTGACCCAGTTTTTAATTATACATAATTTGTATTTATTTATTTATTTATTTAAATTTATCATTATACAATGTAGTTGATTTTTGTGATCCTTTACCAATTCCTCCCTTTCCCCACTTCCTCTACCCCTTTCCCACTCCCATCAACATCACATCCGTTCTCTTCTCTTAACAAGTTCAAGAAATTATTGTGATTGTTGTGTCTTTTTTTTCTATTTGTTTATTTATTTATTTATTTTTGTTAGCTCCCACATATAAGTGAGGACATGTGGTATTTCTCTTTCTGTCTGAATTATTTCACTTAACATAATTTTCTCTAAACTCATCCCTGTTGCTGCGAATGGTACTATTTCATTCTGTTTTATAGCAGACTGGTATTCCATGGCATAGATATACCATATTTTCCTCATCCACTCATCCGATGATGGGCATTTAGGCTGATTCCAACTTGTGGATATTGTAAATAGAGCTGCAATAAACATGGGAGTGCCGGTATCCCTGTAACATGATGATTTCTATTCCTTTGGATATATACCCAGCAGTGGGATAGCTGGGTCACATGGCAGTTCTATCTGAAGTTGTTTGAGGAATCTCCACACCATTTTCCATAGTGGCTGCACCATTTTACAGACCCAGCAACAGTGTAGGGAGAGTTCCCCTTCCTCTGCATCCTCACCAGCATTTGTTATTCCCGGTCTTTTGGATATTAGCCATCCTAACTGGGGTGAGATGATATCTCAATGTGGTTTTGATTTGCATTTCCGGATGCTGAGTGATGTTGAGCATTTCTTCATGTGTCTGTTGGCCATTCGTATATATCTTCCTTTGAGAAATGCCTATTCAGCTCCTTTGCCCATTTTTTAATCAGGTTACTTGTTTATAATTTGATTGCTTACTTGTTAAGTGTTTGTCTCCTTGGACTGAAAGAACCATGTGGGCAGTATCTGTGTTAGTTTAATTTGCTAGCGTTGAACTCCTTACCCACATCAAGGGCATAAAATGGGTCTGAAGCTAGAGACTTAGAGGAAAGACTTCTGAAGACTTCATTGAGAAAGCTATGCTATGAGCCCCAGTCTCACTCTGCTCCAACAAGAAGGAGAAGGGACAAGCTGCTAAACCCAAATCAAGGAAAGACACGTTAGGGACATCAGTTGAAGAGGTCGATATGTATTTCTTACAGTTGGTCAGTGTGTAATTTACACCTGAGAATTTTAAGGGCTGACAGACCAGCTGCAGTGGCCCATGTAAGCAGAGTAGGTGTTGCTGCACTGGCTTCCTGAAACTTCCAGAGTATGGTTAGCAAAGTTCACATAAGGGCCTCCCGGGAACCAGATGTGGGCGCATGCATGAGACAGCCACCATGGGGTCATCTCAGGAATTACCAGGGCAGGCATTGAGGGCTGAGTACGTGTAAACCAGAAGCTGGGAGTTGGCCTAGCTGTCCCAGAACTGAGGAAAGAGCAGTATTACCAAGACAAAGCATTTCAAATAGTGCATATCAAGGAAATGGGTGGCAAGAGATCCCAAAGGATTTGGGAGGGCAGGAGCAGCATCTTAGGAAAATCCATTGAAGTGCTCTCAATAGCAAGCTTTAAACACCAGCCCAACCAGAAAGCCCAGCACCTGTGCCCAACCGTGAAGTCAAGTAAGACCTGTCCTGCCTCTCTTTTCTCTCTTGCTCAAATCTCCCTTTCTGGGTTGTAGAAAAGACAGAAGAAGCTGAGCAACTGCTCTTCCTGACCTGCAGCATTTTCACCATCAACAGACCCCAGTTGGGAAAGAGAAGACATAAATTCACACTCACTGTGAGATGTATCACTTGGCAAAATTAGATTCCAAGCAAAATCAAAGTAGTTTTAAAAATTAATCAAATAATAAATGAATACGTAAGCATTTTGTTTGTATTGACAACAGGATGAGAGTGGTCATTCATGGTCCTTAATACATTCCTCTAAAATCTTTTTAACAAGCACAAGTATACACTACTAAAAAAAAGACAAATGCAAATAAATAAACCCCACTCCTTTCCCACTCTCACTCTACCATTAATTGCAAATTATTCCAACTCCTCAGACTTGGAGGTTAGAGAGAGGTGCCAAAGTCCTGCCTTCCCCACTCCAGTTTCCAGGCTGGAAACCTCTTCCTCCAGTGACTGGCCAGGAGTGGGAAAGATCTGATCCTCTGAATAGGAGGCCCCTCTCCTTCTCTTGCCCACAGGGATCTGACCTTCCTATTGCCGGCCTCAGCAGGATAACACTCAGCCGTATCCCACTACAACACGTATCCCCAACATTCTTCCACACAGCATGACACAGGCAGCAGGGCCTTTATTTCCCCACTAACATGAAAACATGGGGAAGCAGGCATACCACTTTGTCTTTGCAAGACCAATCCCTGCATTTGGCTCTACCGCTTTACTATAAGAAGGTTCGATGAGCTGAGCTAGACCTCGCCCTGGGGTGATCCTGGGGTGATGCTGCTGCAGTGCTCCAGCAGTCTTCCCATGCCTTCCTGGGGTGGACGAAGAGCCTCCGTCTCAAAGGCCACATGTACAACCTCTCACTTGCCCTGCTCTGCACTGTCTCAAGGAAACTGGAGGACATGCTTGGTCACTGGTTAGTTTGTCATAAAACAGCAACCTCGATGAAATACAAACTAGAGCCCAAATATGTTCTCCTTGCATTTCTGCTCTATCCCTTGAGGCTAATGAACCGAAGTCAATTTACTCTCTCACCTTCCAACATCCCAAACCAGAAGATGGCTGCCGTGATCGTGGAGTCTCCTTTGTCCAGGACCAGCGTGTCAGGTCCCGTCAGCCCGGCTCTCTGTCTTACCTGAGAGCTGAAGTAAAATCCTTGGCTGGGATTGAAACTGCCCCGTGAAGAATGACCTCAAATTGTCTCAAAGGCAATGATAAGTGCAGGCTTGTTGCAAACTTATGGGTTTTTTTTTAATAGGCTTATCTTACATTTTAGCAAATATTACTTAATACAAACACATCTAAGATGTGAAAACAGAACTTACATTACCATCTTTATCAATGGGTTGCTCAGAGTAACTGAACAGGAAATGAATTAAAACCGCAGTAACTCAAGAGCAGAACCCAGAAGACTTGGTCTCTTACCCCAAGTCTTCTGACAACTTTGGGCCAGGGACTTAATGTGCCCAGCTTCTCCTTCCTCAAAGCCCAAAGTGTCTCAGGCCTCTGGCTCCTACGAGCTGAGAGCCTCATGTGGATGGGGTATGGCCACACCCACAAAAACAGGACCATTACTATTCATATATGGTAACGTGGGGTTGACTAATATTTAGACATAACAGAGGTTACACCACCATCATAGGATGGTCCAAAGCCTGGTCAAGTTGACTGCCTCCCCACCCACCCAGAGGACTGACTCATCCTACACAGAGAAAGTAAAGCCACCGCTGACCTCCCAGCCAAGCATCTCCGTAGAGAATAGGATGCTCCTCCCCCGCAGGTCCGGGAGCAGTCACTCCAGTTGCCCCAGGCATCCCAGTTGCCATCTTCCTCTTCATCTGAATGAGTGTTTCTTGAGGTCTAGATGTGAAAAAATGCAATAAATTATAGACAAGTGTGGAATAAATATCCCAAAGCTTGCTCACAGTTATACCAGAGTCGTCTTCTAAGCTCTTTACAAAGAAGAAAATTGCCTTAAAATGCTTTGTTTTGGAATGGCTGCACTAAAAAAACCACTTAAGAGAGGCTTATATAAAAATTATTTGGCACCTGTTTGCCTTTCCACCTGAAGAAGGTTTTGTCCAAATGGCTTCTAAGCTCAGTTTCATACCTGAAATTTTATCATTCCTAAATTTAAATAAATTACCTAAATACCAATTTCTTTTTATTATTATTCTGTCTTCTAACTTACATAGCAATGCCCCAGCTTGTATCTGAGAAGTGATCACCATTGAAATTCTGACTTGCTTGTCCATCAGGAAGACAGGTAGTAACTTGCAAGAAGCCTTCTTCCATGAGGATATGTGGAACCTCCCCAGAGAGGCTCCATCCCAGGAAAATAAAGTCAGATGGACAAGCTTGGCTAAGTTATAAATCTTTTGGGGTCCAAGAAAATAGGGAAGGGTCAATTATGAGTAGAGTTTGGTTTCATTTGTCTCCTGGACTTGCCACCACTAACATATCAGGACACTCTAGAGAAGACAGGAGACAGGGAGGTACAGTGAAAAATATATAGATAGCTGTAAATACAGATGTGAAAAGAAATGAAGCTTATTACTTAAAGTTACAAAAGTTTACTAAGGGACCTAAGTAGACTTGAGTAAACGGAGAAACCACCATAGTCCCAAAAGGGTAGACTCAGCACTGTAGAATGGTAATTGTCTTTAAATTAATCTACAAATTAACAGCAATTCCAATCAAAACCCCCAAAAGGAAAGTTTTGGAGACCCAACAAATGATTCTAAAATTCATCTAGTGGAGTATAAGTTCATCCAACGAAAAACCATTAAACTAAGAGAGAGATCTGTAGGAAAGACCTTCGAAAGTGCAATGAAGAAATAATAAAGCAGAGAGGGGGTTTCCCAATAATTTTCACTCAAGTCTCACCAGTCCGCGGGTTTTATGGCTTCTTGCCAGTCTACCTATTTACAGCACAGTAAGCGGTGCTACTAGAGGCAATATTTCAGTAACAGTGAAGTGAAAGGAAAGGATAAATATCTGGCGACTGATCAAATCTGTCATCAGGAATAGGGGCTAATTAAACCCACACTATTTACTGTTCTAATTAGACCACTGTTCAGTTCAATGTTCTACACTAAACGTCACCAAACATAACTGCATCCTGCCTATAACATAATATAAAGTCTTAATTCATAAAAAATACAATAAGCAGTTTAATACATTCATCTTGACATTTAGGTTAGGTAAGTCCAAATCATTTAGGCAAATGTTTAAAATATACACAGCTGAAACTGATTTTTTCCTTTTGTCACTTGATATACTGATAGGTTGAATGCGAAAAGTTGAAAAACATCATCATATTTATTTTTAAATGAAAGTTGAGAGTTCTTTGCAATATTGTTTTAATTTGTTTTTATTCCCTCTATCCCATCTGTTCAGTTTATAGTTAAAATCAGGTTTCTTTCCATAACTTCTCCACCTTTACTTACAGGAAAAAAAAAAAAAAAAAAGGAATCGATTCTAAAACAACTAAAATAGACATGTTATAAATGCAAGTATTTAGTTTCTCTGTTTGGATTGGTAAGACATTTTTCCCTTAAGAAAATAGAGAGAAAATGGCATCTCAAGAGGGATCCTTGAGTTCTTCTCCTCTCCTTGGCTAGGAAGAGGATGGTTGGACTTTGATTTGAAGCCCCAATGCCGTTTTCTCTCCAGCAACCCTCCCTCCCTTTTCATGTATTCTTCCTTACCCAAAGAGTAGCAATAATATCCCAGATTTCTACCCAGTTCTCCTCTGCCCTTTGATCCTAGCAGAATGATGGTAACACAAATATTCAGAAAGAACTCGGTCGAAGCAGAATGAAGTGCCACCAGGGTCATTTCTGAAAGTGTATGCTTGTGTATTCTTCCCTATAGTGAAACAGAACCTGCTTCCCTGGAATTCCCATCCCTCCAGAACAACGAACAGGGAATTTCAATCCTCCTCTGTGGAAGAGCCCTTCTCAAGCTTTCTCAAAGCCTCCAAGATCTGGCTAATACCCCAGTGCCTTTTACTCTCCCAGCTCTTTCACAACTATGTTCTTTCGCTCTCTGCACACACTTAAGATTGCACATTTTTAATCTTAAAATGTAATGTCCAGAATACAACACTGTTTCTGAGAAGAACAGAGGCCATACATTGTCCCCATGATCCAGGTTTCTTTTTATGAAACCTAAGTTTCCTCCCTCCCTCCCTTCCTTCCTCCTTTCTTTCCCTCCTTTCTTCCTTTTTCAGCCACACCATTTATTGGAACTTGCTACGGACGCAGTATCACATAACGGTTAAAAGCTGTTTGACTCGGGGTAAGTTTCTTAACCTTTCTAAAACTCATCTATCAAATGGAGATAATAATCTTTGCCCAAACAGGATTTAAACAAAATAACACATATAAAGTAAATCACACAGCATCTCCATCAGTGTAGTTGGTGAATGTCTCAATAAGTGTAAGTTACTGTTCTTCTTCAAAATAATGTCTTTTGCAAAACAACGACGGTGGAGCCAGCTCTCTCCCATTTGACTTAACATTAATCACTACTGAATTTCTTCTTGTTGGTTTTGGCCCAGAATATCAGGCTGTTGAGATCTGTCTGAAGCCTGATCCTGTCACCCCATCCATGAGCCACTTTGCTCAGCTCTGCAGCTTCCATGTCTTCACCCAAGTCGCTGATAAGCGTGCTGGACATGGCTCCGTAATCTTACAGAATTCCATGAAAGCATTTTTCTGTTTTTTTAAAGTAGTAAGCCAGCCATAATGCCAAGTAAGCAGCCAAGTAATCAGACTTGGAATCTGTGAACATAGTTTAATGTTACAATAAAAATACAAAATAATACCAACCGCTATCATCAAATGTCAGGAGGCAGAAAGGGCTGTGGGGAGGGAGAAATCAGCCACGAGGAGGAACTGGATCAGGCAGGATGAAGTCTGTATTTTGGGGCTGCATGGTGGTGGTGAGCCTCTTAAGAGAGGTATGTAGCAGCCCCACTTTAGCCAGCCCGAGCTCTGAAATCTAGTGACAATAAAAGATAGCTAACTGATATCAGCTCAATCTTGGCCTAATGGTAACCCAGAAGAGGCAACCTCTATGTTTATCCGTTGGGTACCACTGCTTCCAATTCCCCCTTTTCAAACATCTCTTTAAGCTATCTTAAGTAATTATTTAAATTTGATGTTATTACTACTTTATAAGGTAACCTGTTATCTGAACCCAATCCAAGTGTTGTTATCTGAACTCAATCCAAGTGTGATTCAGCCAACATCTTATCACTCTGTGACCTTGCCTGGAGGCCAGACTAGGAGGCAGAGCCTAAAGGCAGACCTGAAGAATTTTGTCCTACACAGAGTGAGTATTGTATGCTAGTTCTTTTCCTGCCTTCTCTCTAACCTCCTCAGCAAGCCCCATTCTACAGCTCAACAACTGTAGCTTTGACATCCACGTGTGTCCAAGGCATGGGGGAGTCCTGGCAGAAGCCCTTTCTGTCTTACCCCAGACAAAGCCTGCATTTTCCTTATGGACATCTGCGTGTTTTCTTCCCTGATTCTCAACTTCCCTTCATGACCAGGAATCCAGTCAAATCAGCAGCCGAGCTATCATCACTCAGAGTTAGCATTTCGCATCTTGGATCAAATACATCTGCTGCTGAGATCCGCTTGACCACAGCATTCCTTCGATATCTCAATGAAGTCTTTCACTTTATGTCCCCTCTCTATTGCAAGCAGAGCTACGTTTCTGCTTTTCAAAAGTATTTCATTTGATCTCGGTGATTTCATGAAGAATGCATGTTCCGGACCAACGTTCACAAACTCAGATGTTTTTATTCACGTTCTCACACAGACACATACCAAGGGCTTGCTAAATCAAAGCTCTGTGCTTGGTGTCTGGGGAGGACGGGTGTGGCTATGACCCCCAAGTAGCTCACAAGTCAGTGAGCAGCAGGTGACAGAGGCAAAGGGGTGTGATGAGACTGTCAATCCTTAGTTGTGGAGAGCAACAGACACTAGGGACACAGAGAGGAGACGCTGAAACGGGAGCAATTTCTACCGTGGTTCGGAGAGCTGGGACACATACATTCCATGGAACAAACCAGTTCCGCTGGGACCATGGGCAGAGCCCATCAATGACTCTCAAATGACAGGTTACATGTGACCTCTTATATTTTTCTCATCTCTATTTTCTAATTGTGATGGAATTACAAACACTTTTAATTTTTTTCTCTTTGCTCATCTATATTTTCTTTTTTTTTTTTTCCTTTTTGTCTTTTTTCGTGACCGGCAACGGATCGCAACCCTCAGTGTTGCGCCCGTACCGGACCGGGACCGGCAACGGGATCGCAACCCTCGGTGTTGCTCCTGCACCTCGCTCAGCCAGTGAGGGGCCGGTCTGTATGTGGGATCCAAACCCTTGGCGGGAGCGCCGCCATGCTTCCCAAGCGGCGCACTGTAGCAGTGCGCCACCAGGCCGGCCCTGCTCATCTATATTTTCTAATGTCATACAATGAACTTGTATAGTTTGTGCAACAAAACACTCAATAAAAGTTCATTTTTTTAAGAGAAAAAAATAAACACTAAAGGGAAACGTATGAAAACACATCCCAAGAAACAATATGTACTGTGTGCCATTTGTTTAAAACTAACAGGCTTAAAGATCTGTTAGGAAATCATATTTTTCTAAGTAAAGGTCTAGCTAGGGAATATGTTGGATGAAAAATTACAAAAAGATACTGTTTACTGATTATATAATGAACTGGTAAAGGCCAAGAATATTATAGGAGTAAGTGTGTTCACAATCTCATAACGACCAGAGTACTGCTTGCCTTTCTTGGATCTCCATGCATAAATCAAATCATAAAATACTTTCCTGTCAAGTCCCTAAATCTATGACTTATAATAAATAGTACAGTTCAACTACTCTTGCTAAAACATTAGTAATTAAACACAGATTTCACATATAAGGTCACTTATTGGAAATGCTATATTAACAGCTCCATATTAAAAACAACCCAAAATAAAATGAGTTCCACTGGGATATTACTTCCCAGACATCAAATAAATGTTCATTCCAATGTTACCACAAAGGTTATTTAAGGAGATCTCAAACAACCCTGATTTTGTTAACAGTAAATACATACTTTCTGGTTAATACTACCATAAGGTCTGTAACAACAAAAATTTAGAAATATGAATTGGGTGAATGACATAAAAATGTCACTCAAGCTGTCACACAGACTCAACAATTCAGTTCAACCAGGATATATTAAATACTAATATATCTAAGGCTGTGTGCTGAGAAACACACCACACCCCTGCCTCTCACATCTCCCTTCTCCAGTCCATTCTATCTTCTACTGAAAAAGATATATATCCACAACTCATGACCCTGATAGTCAATGACCTCTGGGATTTGGTCTACTCTTTCCTAGACAGTTATTCTGCCACCTTTAAAGCCCTTCACAAATTCCTCAGGACACTTGTCCTGCAGCTCTAGGTTCTCTGCGCCTTACCCTGTTCATTTTCCAGCTCCATCTCTTGCAGGTCCAGCTCACACCATATCCCATACTCCAAGCACACCATGTTTCTCATTACTCCCCAAACTTAAACACATTTGCGAAGTCCTGCTTGAGGAGCACTGTAAAAACACGCTATTCACTCAGGTGTGGACAGGGTACAGGGAGACCACGAGGGCTGGCGTAGCACTCGGGCTGGTACCAGCTAGACTGTGAATCTGGCGATGCTCATGGTCTGCTCGAGCCCTGCCTGCTAGGTGGGGCAAGGGCAGGCAGAGGCTGTGTTTACAGAGCCGCCTGAGAGGAGCTAAGATCAATAATGACAACCCACAGCCACCCACAAACAGACAGCTGGGGAAAGAAACACACCTCTCTCCAATCCCATTAGCCAGGAGCCAGAGGGCGAGGGAGACATTGATGCCGTGCACACAGGTCAGCCTCCAGGTGGGTGCAGCATGGGGTGGGGAAGGGTGGAGAGTGGATCTGGAGGGACGACCAGAGTACTGCTTGCCTTTCTTGGATCTCCATGCATAAATCAAATCATAAAATACTTTCCTGTCAAGTCCCTAAATCTATGACTTATAATAAATAGTACAGTTCAACTACTCTTGCTAAAACATTAGTAATTAAACACAGATTTCACATATAAGGTCACTTATTGGAAATGCTATATTAACAGCTCCATATTAAAAACAACCCAAAATAAAATGAGTTCCACTGGGATATTACTTCCCAGACATCAAATAAATGTTCATTCCAATGTTACCACAAAGGTTATTTAAGGAGATCTCAAACAACCCTGATTTTGTTAACAGTAAATACATACTTTCTGGTTAATACTACCATAAGGTCTGTAACAACAAAAATTTAGAAATATGAATTGGGTGAATGACATAAAAATGTCACTCAAGCTGTCACACAGACTCAACAATTCAGTTCAACCAGGATATATTAAATACTAATATATCTAAGGCTGTGTGCTGAGAAACACACCACACCCCTGCCTCTCACATCTCCCTTCTCTAGTCCATTCTATCTTCTACTGAAAAAGATATATATCCACAACTCATGACCCTGATAGTCAATGACCTCTGGGATTTGGTCTACTCTTTCCTAGACAGTTATTCTGCCACCTTTAAAGCCCTTCACGAATTCCTCAGGACACTTGTCCTGCAGCTCTAGGTTCTCTGCGCCTTACCCTGTTCATTTTCCAGCTCCATCTCTTGCAGGTCCAGCTCACCATATCCCACACTCCAAGCACATCATGTTTCTCGTTATTCCCCAAACATAAACACATTTGCCAAGTCCTGCTTGAGGAGCACTGTAAAAACACGCTATTCACTCAGGTGTGGACAGGGTACAGGGAGACCATGAGGGCTGGCGTAGCACTCGGGCTGGTACGGGCTAGACTGTGAATCTGGCGATGCTCATGGTCTGCTCGAGCCCTGCCTGCTAGGTGGGGCAAGGGCAGGCAGAGGCTGTGTTTACAGAGCCGCCTGAGAGGAGCTAAGATCAATAATGACAACCCACAGCCACCCACAAACAGACAGCTGGGGAAAGAAACACACCTCTCTCCAATCCCATTAGCCAGGAGCCAGAGGGCGAGGGAGACATTGATGCCGTGCATACAGGTCAGCCTCCAGGTGGGTGCAGCATGGGGTAGGGAAGGGTGGAGAGTGGATCTGGAGGGCCAGGAGAGGCTTTCCAGCACAGTAACTTATTGACTTACTGGAACATTTTTAAGCAGAGGAGTGACTTTTGCAGATTGTATTTTGGAAAAATTACTCTGGCAGGAGTGTGGGAAAAGATTGAGGGAGCAGAGCCTCACATCAGAGAGCACAGCTAGAAGGCCACTGACATAGTGCAGAGAAGAGACAAGAGCCTGGACTAGATACTACCAGTGTCTGGAAGAGGAAGGCACTAGAATCAAAAGGACCTGGCAGGTGACAATGTGCTGGGAGAAAGGAGGTGCTATGATGACACCCAGGCTTCCACATGAAGTGATTTGTGGCAAATGTCGATCTCATTCAGGTCTCACAGCCATCCTCAACCCCACCCTGGAGGAGGGATTCTCAGTGCCCTTTCAGCACAGAATGAGAACAGTGCCCTCCATAATGATAACAGAAGCTAACTACTGGTGACTCCCATGAGGAACCTGGCCTGCAGGTTTGATCTAATTAAC